TCTCATCTGATCTCTCTCTCTCTCCTCTCTGATCTCTCTCTCTCTCTCATCTGATCTCTCTCTCTCTCTCTTCTCATCTGATCTCTCTCTCTTCTCCTCATCTGATCTCTCTCTCTCTCTCATCTGATCTCTCTCTCTTTCCTCATCTGATCTCTCTCTCTTTCCTCATCTCTCTCTCTCTCTCCTCATCTGATCTCTCTCTCTCTCTCATCTCTCTCTCTCTCTCTCCTCATCTGATCTCTCTCTCATCTGATCTCTCTCTCTCTCCTCATCTGATCTCTCTCTCTCTCCTCATCTGATCTCTCTCTCTCTCCTCATCTGATCTCTCTCTCTCTCTCCTCATCTGATCTCTCTCTCTCTCTCCTCATCTGATCTCTCTCTCTCTCCTCATCTGATCTCTCTCTCTCTCCTCATCTGATCTCTCTCTCTCTCCTCATCTGATCTCTCTCTCTCTCCTCATCTGATCTCTCTCTCTCTCTCCTCATCTGATCTCTCTCTCTCTCTCCTCATCTGATCTCTCTCTCTCCTCCTCTGATCTCTCTCTCTCTCCCCTCATCTAATCTCTCCCCCCCCCTCTCCTCTAGATCAGCAACAGGTGGTATGGTCTACTATGTAGCTAATACACATCACATCCCTCTACCACAAAGAGATGAGCAGATCTCTACTATTGGCCCTGCCACGTGCAGCATCCGCCCGAGGAAGCATTACACCCAGAGGAAGATGGTGGACGCGTGTCTGAAAGATAAGAGGATAATAAGATAATAAAGATAAGATAATTTTTGGTGAGAAATATATCCAAATTGAGGTTTTAACCACGGGAGCCGAATCCTGTGTACTCGCTCCTCTCTCCTTGGAACAAATGGAGGATTGGATTGCTTTTAAGGGGATTGCATTGTTCAGCAGATGGACAATGAAATATTATGTGCTGGAAAGGCAGGTTTTAATCTCAGTCTCCATATTCGAAAATTATGAATTAAATGCGATTTGGAACGTGCGGATGAATTCACGGAGAGGAGAGTCCATTTTGTACTTTGTGGTGGTCACATGGAGAGTCCTTTTTCCTCCTCTGGTACTGTGCCTATGATACTGTGATTTCAGGAGAGTCATTTTACTGATGCTGTGTCTTAAGGAGAGTCTTCCTTCGTGATGCTGTGTCTTAAGGCGTCTCTTCCTCCGTGATGCTGTGTCTTAAGGAGAGTCATCTCCCCTCGACAGCAAGAATACCGGTAATGCCAACAGCAACAGCTTGGTGAGTTGGAGGTCGACTCCTTAACTCAAAACTTGAACGCTTTTACAGATGGGATTTACTTAATGTTTTCAGTTTCCTCTTAAACACCCCTGTAGCAGCGTTTCTGAGGTGCGGCACCTCACACAGGGACACCCCATCACTGCACCAGGGGGACACCCCATCACTGCACCAGGGGGACACCCCATCACTGCACCAGGGGGACACCCCATCACTGCACCAGGGGGACACCCCATCACTGCACCAGGGGGACACCCCATCACTGCACCAGGGGACACCCCATCACTGCACCAGGGGGACACCCCATCACTGCACCAGGGGGACACCCCATCACTGCACCAGGGGGACACCCCATCACTGCACCAGGGGGACACCCCATCACTGCACCAGGGGGACACCCCATCACTGCACCAGGGGGACACCCCATCACTGCACCAGGGGGACACCCCATCACTGCACCAGGGGGACACCCCATCACTGCACCAGGGGGACACCCCATCACTGCACCAGGGGGACACCCCATCACTGCACCAGGGGGACACCCCATCACTGCACCAGGGGACACCCCATCACTGCACCAGGGGACACCCCATCACTGCACCAGGGGGACACCCCATCACTGCACCAGGGGACACCCCATCACTGCACCAGGGGGACACCCCATCACTGCACCAGGGGGACACCCCATCACTGCACCAGGGGGACACCCCATCACTGCACCAGGGGGACACCCCATCACTGCACCAGGGGGACACCCCATCACTGCACCAGGGGGACACCCCATCACTGCACCAGGGGACACCCCATCACTACACCAGGGGGACACCCCATCACTGCACCAGGGGGACACCCCATCACTGCACCAGGGGACACCCCATCACTGCACCAGGGGACACCCCACAGGGGGACACCCCATCACTGCACCAGGGGACACCCCACAGGGGGACACCCCATCACTGCACCAGGGGACACCCCATCACTGCACCAGGGGACACCCCATCACTGCACCAGGGGGACACCCCATCACTGCACCAGGGGGACACCCCATCACTGCACCAGGGGACACCCCATCACTGCACCAGGGGGACACCCCATCACTGCACCAGGGGGACACCCCATCACTGCACCAGGGGACACCCCATCACTGCACCAGGGGACACCCCATCACTGCACCAGGGGGACACCCCATCACTGCACCAGGGGGACACCCCATCACTGCACCAGGGGGACACCCCATCACTGCACCAGGGGACACCCCATCACTGCACCAGGGGGACACCCCATCTCTGCACCAGGGGGACACCCCATCACTGCACCAGGGGACACCCCATCACTGCACCTCTTCACACATTGTGCATTACAAGGTAATCTCCTGTAATTCTCCCTCGTCTGGATTACGTTCGCCCTGGATTAAAATAATCTCCAACTCCATAGTGCTCGGTTTGGAAATCCTGTGTGTGTGTGTGTGTGTGTGTGTGTGTGTGTGGCATGTTCTCTTGTTAGTTATTAGTCAGAAGAAGTCCCTAGAGTAACTGTGAAAGAATTTGAGTATTTGAGGGAGAAGGGATTCTGAGATACAATCATGTGTGACTTACAATCACTAGTGTATTGTGTGTGTTGTATATGTCACTTACAAAGTGTCACAATACAACTCCCCAACGTTCCCCGAGTTCAACACTGCACAATGTGCTTCACAGTCCCGGCTGGCTAACACCACCGCGGCTCAAGGGATGTTCACAGCAGTGGAATGGCATGGATGTTCAGTGGAATGCGTGTGAAAGAATTTTCATCAAAAACATTATAGTCTAACATGTGTTGGAAAGATAAGTCACATACACGGACGGGTTCGATCTTGTGACCAGGACTCGAAGTGGGCCGCGGGGCGCTCGAAGTGGGCCGCGGGGCGCTCGAAGTGGGCCGCGGGGCGCTCGAAGTGGGCCGCGGGGCGCTCGAAATAGCCGCACGGACTTGAGTTCAGAGTCCCTTTAGTCTCCAAGAGCCACGATGGTAAGAGAAATGTGTTAACACATTACATAATGCTCCCCAAGCACAGAACACCCGCTCTCACACACACTACACTGCTATGGAAGCTTCACCCGCCATAGTAGAATATGGCGAAATACTATTATCATCTCACCGAAATATGTTTACCGCAGGAGTCGGTTAATGGAGGAGTTATTGCTTGAGTTCCTGTACTTGGGAGCCCCGCCACGCGTAACTATAGTAGCAGAACCCGTGACTCTGTATAGCAGCAGAACCCGTGACTCTGTATAGCAGCAGAACCCGTGACTGTATAGCAGCAGAACCCGTGACTCTGTATGGCAGCAGAACCCGTGACTGTATAGCAGCAGAACCCGTGACTGTATAGCAGCAGAACCCGTGACTCTGTATAGCAGCAGAACCCGTGACTCTGTATGGCAGCAGAACCCGTGACTGTATAGCAGCAGAACCCGTGACTCTGTATAGGAGCAGAACCCGTGACTGTATAGCAGTAGAACCCGTGACTCTGTATAGCAGCAGAACCCGTGACTCTGTATAGCAGCAGAACCCGTGACTCTGTATAGCAGCAGAACCCGTGACTCTGTATAGCAGCAGAACCCGTGACTGTATAGCAGTAGAACCCGTGACTGTGTATAGCAGCAGAGTCCGTGACTCTGTATAGCAGCAGAACCCGTGACTGTATAGCAGCAGAACCCGTGACTCTGTATAGCAGCAGAGTCCGTGACTGTAGAGTAGTAGAGCCCGTGTCTCAGCACACTGCCCTTACCAAGAATAAGCCTGATGTCAGCCACCATCCTCACTAGTTTCCACGGAACCTCTGCACCAATCCAAATGCAGCTACTGCCGTAACTCATCATCTGATTGGCCCAGTTACAGGGTTCACGTGACGTCGTTGGGAGTATGCAGAGAGAAGCCCTCAGAGCCGTTTGAGCTCTGAGGTCCCAAGTGACCTGACCTTAAGCCTACCGGAGGGAGCCGGTCGGCCGAGCGGACAGCACGCTGGACTTGTGATCCTGTGGTCCTGGATTCGATCCCAGGCGCCGGCGAGAAACAATGGGCAGAGTTTCTTTCACCCTATGCCCCTGTTACCTAGCAGTAAAATACGTACCTGGGTGTTAGTCAGCTGTCACGGGCTGCTTCCTGGGGGTGGAGGCCTGGTCGAGGACCGGGCCGCGGGGACACTAAAGCCCCGAAATCATCTCAAGATAACCTCAAGAAGATACCCTCCACCACACAAGATGGCGACGTTCCAAGATGTATATAAGCCTCTTATCATCTCGCATAAGTTGGGCTCGCCATAGCCCGTGCTACATGGCCGTTTCCTTCTGAGTAACTAAATCTAAAACTTACAACTCGCTTAACCAGAAGTCGTACGTCTTGCTTCATACTAGGCCGTGATTCCTCAAGTATTTACGCTTTTACTTACGAAGCCTCCTCATCTTTCCTCAAAGATGGCGGCTTAAATTATACTTATTAAAACATTTGTCAACTCTCAAGCGCCACGAGGTGGTTTATAACGATAATAACATTGGGTTGTGAAGTTTGGGAGCTCATGAACGGTTTAATATATGTAAACAAAGCCATTGAGATTAAGGAAAGATGCAGTGGCTTAGTATTGAGTTGGTGAAGGCTTGATAACTCAACTCTCACACAGAATAACTATGTACGTGACACTAAAATTGTATATAAGAGTAGGAGTTGCATGTGTCAATGCTAACACACAGTATCATGTGTCAATAATGATACACATTACCATCTTTCAATGCTAACTGAAACACAGCAGCATGTGTGAATGCTAGCTGGGATGTAGGAGCATGTATGAATGCTAGCTGAAACACAGCAGCATGTATGAATGCTAGCTGAAACACAGCAGCATGTGTGAATGCTAGCTGGGATATAGTAGCATCTATCAATGCTAGCTGAAACACAGCAGCATGTGTGAATGCTAGCTGGGATATAGCAGCATATATCAATGCTAACTGATACGAAACACAAAATACAAACTGTGAAACATACATATACATGAAAGAGTTAATCATGACCTGACGTATCCAACAGCAACAGGTGTGGGGTCAATACAACACTACAACAACAGCTGTGGGGTCAATACAACACTACAACAACAGGTGTGGGGTCAACCCAACACTACAACAACAGCTGTGGGGTCAACCCAACACTACAACAACAGGTGTGGGGTCAATACAACACTACAACAACAGCTGTGGGGTCAATACAACACTACAGCAACAGCTGAGGGGTCAACACAACACTACAACAACAGCTGTGGGGTCAACCCAACACTACAACAACAGGTGTGGGGTCAATACAACACTACAACAACAGCTGTGGGGTCAATACAACACTACAGCAACAGCTGAGGGGTCAACACAACACTACAACAACAGCTGAGGGGTCAACCCAACACTACAACAGCAGCTGTGGGGTCAATACAACACTACAACAGCAGCTGTGGGGTCAATACAACACTACAACAACAGCTGTGGGGTCAATACAACACTACAACAACAGCTGTGGGGTCAATACAACACTACAACAACAGCTGTGGGGTCAATACAACACTACAACAGCAGCTGTGGGGTCAATACAACACTACAACAGCAGCTGAGGGGTCAACCCAACACTACAACAGCAGCTGTGGGGTCAACCCAACACTACAACAACAGCTGTGGGGTCAATACAACACTACAACAGCAGCTGTGGGGTCAATACAACACTACAACAACAGCTGTGGGGTCAATACAACACTACAGCAACAGCTGTGGGGTCAATACAACACTACAACAACAGCTGTGGGGTCAATACAACACTACAACAACAGGTGTGGGGTCAATACAACACTACAACAACAGCTGTGGGGTCAATACAACACTGCAGGACATAGCCGTACAGAAAAAGATCATAATTTACACCTATTGTAGAAAAAATCGCTCCTGGGCCAGGTAAGTCCTCCACGGGCTCACCATAGCCCGTGCTACTTGGAACTTTTTGTTCCCAGTAGCTGAATCTATTAACAACAACAACAACGTTGTATGTGGTAATTTATTTTGATCTACGAGAGAAAATTCGGAATTGTAGTTGTACACCTTTCTAATAATGCTTGACCTTTAATGACTGACCTTTAATGACTGGTGACCGAACTGCTCTTGGTAATTAGCGTGTACTAATTACCCCATCTGGTAATTACCTGTTTAGCTTTTAGTAATTACTCGTCTACTGATAGGTAAATTTACCTGTTTGGTTATTGGGTATTCACTGTTAGCCAATTATCAGTTTAGCGTGCTATAATTACCTGTTTAGCGTGCTATAATTACCTGTTTAGCGTCTATTAATTACCTGTTTAGCGTCTATTAATTACCTACTATCAGATAATTATTTGTTTAACGTGTAAATATTACCTGCTTAATTACCCTTAGGTAATTTCCTGTTTAGTGCGTAATAATTACCTAATTTGCCATTAAGCAAATCATAAACTGTTTACCACTTGCCTAACGGTAAACTATCAGTTTACCGTTAGTTAGTGATGTCGCTACGTAAAGGAATACCTCACCCAGCAATGTCGCTACATAAACTCTCTGGGATGCTCTCGGACGCGGGTTCGAATCCTCGTCACGGCCCTTGTGGATTTGTTCATTTGCTAGGTCAAGGAATACCTCACCCAGCAATGTCGCTAAGCTATTGTTGCTCGTTGCCCCATTAACGACATCGTTCTATAGTTACGCACATCGCTCGATATAGGTACAATTGACAATAATTTTCTCTCAATAAAGGTGCGTATATTCGGGAAATTCAACATATCCATGTATATTGTCAAATAAAGAGGGGGTGGGGGGTGATAGTTCGATAATAATTGATTTTGAAAACGGTGCAGATATTTCCCGGAAAGAGTGTATGTGTATATATATATAGACGATTAATAGTGAATGGCTCCACAATACTACATATCCCCCCCCCCCCTGTATGTAGCTGTTGCGTATTCCTGTATGTAAATAACGTATTTGGTTAATGGCTGCATCGCCCTGTATATCGCGTATCGCTGCCCAATGGATCGTTCGAGGTAATGTCATTCATCATCTAGTGATGGTGTATGAAGGGTGTGTGTGTATATCGCTAGATAATCCCGTATTTATCGCTCCGGTAATGGTGTATAATTATGTAGGTGATTAGCCTGGTGACGCGGGCCGAGGCAGCCTGGGGACTTCAAAAAGCATGAGAGACACTTTGATCACCAATTAAGGTCGTTAATTCGGCTTTTGCAGAGACTTTTAAAGCATTGACAGGTGGAGGGGTGGGGGAGGGCCTTCGCTTATTGCGTCCTGCGCGGGTAAACGGCGGGATACGTCTGTTGTGTTAGGTGAACTCTCCCGTTGTGACGTTTAACGGAGGTGTTATTCTTCCCGTTTATTGATAGAAACTACAACTACCGCTAAATAATAATAAAAATAAATAATAATTAATCTTCATTCGTAATAATGAATGAAGATTAATTTGAATGCACAATTGGCTTTTGATATTTTTCGATATCAACAATACAAAATAATAATGGAAATTAGTAACCAAAAAGGTATTGATAGCAATGATTCAAAAAAAAATATTGATCAGAAAATTGATGATTGAATTAATCAGAGAATCAGTTAGAACAGTTTTTTTTTATCTGAATGGTTATCGAGTCGTTGTTAGTGGTCTGACTGTTAATTGATTATCGTTGTTAGAGTGGCTTTTGTAACACTTCGAAAAGAATATTTGAAAAGACATTTTGGAGAATATCTGCCATTTTCTACAATTTGGAGTTCATAAGCCATTACAAAATACCACTACCCGATTAACCTATATAAAACAAAGACATTCATTACTCCATTGAATTACCTCACCGGATCCGGTGCTTGGCGTTAGGCCCAATTCCCAACACGAAAAATAAGTTCTGAATATTTAATATTAAAATAATTTTTCCCGTTCTCGCAAATTCGTGTAGTCAATATTGACTTATTTAATAAGTGCATAGGTGACATACTAAACATAATAGATACCCTTAAAAAGCTTCATAGAAAACACCGACCTTACCTAACCTTGTTAGTATGTTAAGATAAGCATCTTATTGCTTCGTAATTACAATTGTTACTTAACCTATTATAGGTATAGGTTAAGTAATAATTGTAATTACGAAGCAATAAGATGCTTATCTTAAGATATTAACAAGGTTAAGTAAGGTCGGTGTTTTCTATGAAGCTTTTTTTAAGGGTATCTATTATGTTTAGTATGTCACATATGCACTTATTTAATAAGTCAATATTGACTATACGAATTTGCGAGAACGGGTTGAAATAATAATAACTCCCTCCCCTACCATTAATTGCAATGAAGGTAAAGCAGACCTTCTACATGGAGGGTAATGTTGCAAATGCTTTCGCGCCATAAATATTAATAACATTTGCCCTGTAATATTTATTCAGACTGTGACGGAAATTAATTTTTTTGTCCTGGTAAACAAAACTGAATTTTGGCATCGACTTGTTTTGCATTTTAAGTTGTGTTCGTTAATCAACAAATGAAAAATCGGATATTGTTTCCGCTTTTGACATGCTAAATATCGCAAATTGCCGTACCGGACGTTAGAGAGGTTTATGTAGGGGTTGATTAGAGTAGAATATGTAGGCAGTTGGTTGAATATAACACTAGACAGAGCACAGGAACATGTGGATGAATGAAGAAAAACACTAGACAGAGCACAGGAACATGTGGATGACTGAACAAAAACACTAGACAGTGCACAGGAACATGTGGATGACTGAACAAAAACACTAGACAGTGCACAGGAACATGTGGATGACTGAACAAAAACACTAGACAGAGCACAGGAACATGTGGATGAATGAACTAAAACACTAGACAGAGCACAGGAACATGTGGATGACTGAACAAAAACACTAGACAGTGCACAGGAACATGTGGATGACTGAACAAAAACACTAGACAGTGCACAGGAACATGTGGATGACTGAACAAAAACACTAGACAGAGCACAGGAACATGTGGATGACTGAACAAAAACACTAGACAGAGCACAGGAACATGTGGATGACTGAACAAAAACACTAGACAGAGCACAGGAACATGTGGATGACTGAACAAAAACACTAGACAGTGCACAGGAACATGTGGATGACTGAACAAAAACACTAGACAGTGCACAGGAACATGTGGATGACTGAACAAAAACACTAGACAGAGCACAGGAACATGTGGATGACTGAACAAAAACACTAGACAGAGCACAGGAACATGTGGATGACTGAACAAAAACACTAGACAGAGCACAGGAACATGTGGATGACTGAACAAAAACACTAGACAGAGCACAGGAACATGTGGATGACTGAACAAAAACACTAGACAGAGCACAGGAACATGTGGATGACTGAACAAAAACACTAGACAGAGCACAGGAACATGTGGATGAATGAACAAAAACACTAGACAGAGCACAGGAACATGTGGATGAATGAACAAAAACACTAGACAGAGCACAGGAACATGTGGATGAATGAACTAAAACACTAGACAGAACACAGGAACATGTGGATGAATGAACAAAAACACTAGACAGAGCACAGGAACATGTGGATGAATGAACTAAAACACTAGACAGAACACAGGAACATGTGGATGAATGAAGTAAATACATTATGTCGATTATGGAACATTATACAGTATGTAGTTAGTTAATTGCCCTTAGAGCACAAAAGGCAGATACCTAAATAGTGCTGAGAGATTGTTGCATACAACACAATAGATTTATGGTTGAATAGATCAGCACAGGTAAATGGCTGAACAGAACACATAGGTAGATAGTAGCGAGAACACAACGGGTAGATAATAGACAGACATGTTAGACACGGCCTCTGTCCGTCATCTAATCCTTTCATTATATTGAACTTTTGAACATTATATATATTCATTATATTATTATTCATATCATTATATTGAACTAAATAGCAGGTAAGAATACGCTAATACCAGGAACTATTTAGTTCTTAAAGAATGTAACACAATCATGTATAATTGAGCAAAGTATAATTCCTCTACGGAGAGACTCGAACTCGACCCCAGATTAAGGTGACCCCAGTCAGAGCAAAACTGTCAGTACATCTACAGGTAGTTATGTTATCAATAGGTGAGATTTGGAGCTGATAAAGCCCGTTGGTAATTGCCCCACCGCAGCGACCACCTCTTGTCCCACCTATAATATTTATTGAAGGGAAGCGTGAGCGTGTTCAAAGGGTTCGTGGGCAACGCTTCTATATATAATAACCTCTAACCGTTTATCGTCCAACATTTACCAGTTTGAGAAACGTTTGGATACACACACACACACACACACACACACACACACACACACACACACACACACACACACACACACACACACACACACACACACACGAGATAAGGGATATAGTTACGTAGTTTTTTGTATAGATTTTAGAATTTCCATAGTACACATAACATGCAGGCAGCTGACAAAAACACACCGTAACATGCAGGCAGCTGACAAAAACACGTCACAACATGCAGGCAGCTGACAAAAACACACCGTAACATGCAGGCAGCTTACAAAAACACACCATAACATGCAGGCAGCTTACAAAAACACACCGTAACATGCAGGCAGCTGACAAAAACACACCGTAACATGCAGGCAGCTGACAAAAACACACCGTAACATGCAGGCAGCTTACAAAAACACACCGTAACATGCAGGCAGCTGACAAAAACACACCGTAACATGCAGGCAGCTGACAAAAACACACCGTAACATGCAGGCAGCTGACAAAAACACACCGTAACATGCAGGCAGCTGACAAAAACACACCGTAACATGCAGGCAGCTGACAAAAACACACCGTAACATGCAGGCAGCTGACAAAAACACACCGTAACATGCAGGCAGCTGACAAAAACACACCGTTACATGCAGGCAGCTTACAAAAACACACCATAACATGCAGGCAGCTTACAAAAACGTCACAACATGCAGGCAGCTTACAAAAACACACCGTAACATGCAGGCAGCTTACAAAAACGTCACAACATGCAGGCAGCTTACAAAAACACACCGTAACATGCAGGCAGCTTACAAAAACACACCGTAACATGCAGGCAGCTGACAAAAACACGTCACAACATTCAGGCAGCTTACAAAAACACACCATAACATGCAGGCAGCTGACAAAAATACACAACCTTCTTGCAACTGACAAAAACATACTGAAAGCTCCTTTCCACCGCATTGCAACACAACCTATCAACCCCTTGTTGCCATATATGTATACCTCTCCCCCCCATATGTATACCTCTCCCCCCCATATGTGCCCCCCCCCCTCCCTCACATATGGGGGAGTTCCAATTTTGAATAATGGGTGATGCGCCTTTTTTCAAACAAATCTTTTTTTTTTCCCCTCATATTGTCTTTTTTTTAATTTCAATGCAATAGCGGAAAAAAAATAATTAAAGTGCATATTATTAAGTTTTGGAAATGAGGTAAATCAAATACTGTTTCGAGCCAAAATTATGACCATTAGCGATTGATTTTTTTGGGGGTATAAAAAAAACTTGTAAATGAAAGCCGGGCATTTTTTACAACTGGAGTGAATGATGAATACAGTGTTTTGTAAACACTAGAGTAGTGGCATTGTGAAGTGAAAGTTTTTTACAGTGTAGATACAGCAACATCGAGAGGTGCTGTGACGGGTGTTTGTGCTGCTGTGACGGGTGTTTGTGGCGCTGTGACGGGTGTTTGTGATGCTGTGACGGGGGTTTGTGATGCTGTGACGGGTGTTTGTGATGCTGTGACGGGTGTTTGTGATGCTGTGACGGGTGTTTGTGACGCTGTGACGGGGGTTTGTGATGCTGTGACGGGGGTTTGTGATGCTGTGACGGGGGTTTGTGCTGCTGTGACGGGGGTTTGTGACGCTGTGACGGGGGTTTGTGACGCTGTGACGGGGGTTTGTGACGCTGTGACGGGGGTTTGTGACGCTGTGACGGGGGTTTGTGATGCTGTGACGGGGGTTTGTGATGCTGTGACGGGGGTTTGTGACGCTGTGACGGGGGTTTGTGACGCTGTGACGGGGGTTTGTGACGGGGGTTTGTGGCGCTGTGACGGGGGTTTGTTCTGCTGTGACGGGGGTTTGTGCTGCTGTGACGGGGTTTGTGATGCTGTGACGGGGGTTTGTGATGGGTGTTTGTGATGCTGTGACGGGTGTTTGTGATGCTGTGACGGGTGTTTGTGATGCTGTGACTGTGACGCTGTGACGGGTGTTTGTGACGCTGTGACGGGTGTTTGTGACGCTGTGACGGGTGTTTGTGATGCTGTGATGGGTGTTTGTGATGCTGTGACTTTGTGACGCTGTGACGGGTGTTTGTGATGCTGTGACGGGTGGTTGTGATACTGTGACGCTGTGACGGGTGTTTGTGATGCTGTGACTGTGACGCTGTGACGGGTGGTTGTGTTGATGTGACTGGTGTTTGTGATGCTGTGACTGTGACGCTGTGACGGGTGGTTGTGTTGATGTGACGGGTGTTTGTGATGCTGTGACGGGTGTTTGTGATGCTGTGACGGGTGGTTGTGTTGATGTGACGGGTGTTTGTGATGCTGTGACGGGTGGTTGTGATGCTGTGACGGGTGGTTGTGTTGATGTGACGGGTGTTTGTGGCGCTGTGACGAGTGTTTGTGTGGCTGTGAGTCGCTGTTATTGGCGTCAACAACCCTAGAACTACTGGCAAAATGGCCACAGGTACACTTGTTAGCCCCATGATCTTTCCGCCCCGCTACCAGAGAGAGAGAGAGACGGAGGAAGAGAGAGAGAGAGAGAGGAGGAGGGTGGACATAGCCAGTGGGCGGGCCAGTGGGCGGGCCAGTGGGCGGGCCAGTAGGCGGGCCAGTAGGCGGACCAGTGGGCGGGCCACCTTGTTGCAAACACCACTTGCATGTGCAATGTTGCATCCCTCCTCCTTCCTCTCTCACAGCAATATGGCCGCCCCCCGACGACGCTCCGCGCCACTGGAGAGGCCAGCGGCCAATTTGGATGAAATCTGGAATTGAATGGCGCTCTAATCTGCCGCAGTCGGAATAGAACAAGTGCCATCCAAGAACGAAAATTGCAGTGCCAAATTTCAATAAGCCGGTATTTAAGTAGGCGATATTGGTTGGTTGGGAGGTTGTGTTGGCACTGCTGTGGGGGTCTTGGCCCTCCTGGGGGGGGGGGGTAGGGGAGGGGTTAAGGTGTTAAGTGAAGAGGTCCAACCTACCAGAGGACCTAAAACAGAAATCGGGTCTGTATGTACGTACGTACATAGGTAGCCGGTCGGCCGAGCGGACAGCACGCTGGACTTGTGGTCCTGTGGTCCCTGGGTATGATCCCAGGTGAGAAACAATGGGTAGAGTTTCTTTCATCCTATGCCCCCCTGTTACCTAGCAGTAAAATAGGTACCTGGGTGTTAGTCAGCTGTCACGGGCTGCTTCCTGGGGGTGGAGGCCTGGTTGGTCGAGGACCGGGCCGCGGGGACACTAAAGCCCCGAAATCATCTCAAGATAACCTCAAGATAACGTACGTACGTCACTTTCGCGAGCCGCTATCCTTTTCTAGCACAATTTTTTTTACCCTTAGGTAACACATACGAACGAAACGCGACGTTCTATACAGGACAGAAACGACACGGTACTACCACCCTACGGGGCTCACCATAGCCCGTGCTACTTGGAACTTTTTGTTCTAGGTAGCGAATCTTTAATAACAATGAACAACCCATGTTAAAGGCATGGCCGGTGGCACTGGCATTATTCTCTACATGCATGGTTTGCTACTTCTGATGGTGGTAGTAGTGGTTGTTTGACCACTGGTGACTGGTAGTGGTGACTGGTAGTGGTAGTATGATGACTATCTGTTGCATAGTTTGTCTTTTTTTTAATACGGTCTACAATTATGAACCCAAATACCGGATACGCATGCAAAAAAAAAAAGGAACTTTTATTAAATATAAATGCTTTATATATTCACATTAATGAGTGAGGGGATGAGTTACCATAGGAACGGGATGGATGGATGGTTGTGCCCCTTCATCACCACCCTTTCCACCGTTCCAAATCATCCCTTCCCTTTTCTCCTCTCCCTTTCCTTCCCATCATTACCGCTGCATGTTCTTTCTTATGACTCTGAAGGGACATGAAAATTTTTTCATGTTTCTTTAATATTATTTTTCAATGGTACCTTTTGGCTGACTGTGGAACCTTTTGGCTGACAGTGGAACCTTTTAGCTGACAATGGAACCTTTTGGCTGACTGTGGAACCTTTTGGCTGACAGTGGAACCTTTTAGCTGACAATGGAACCTTTTGGCTGACAGTGGAACCTTTTGGCTGACAGTGGAACCTTTTGGCTGACAGTGGAACCTTTTGGCTGACAGTGGAACCTTTTGGCTGACAGTGGAACCTTTTGGCTGACAGTGGAACCTTTTGGCTGACAGTGGAACCTTTTGGCTGACAGTTGAACCTTTTGGCTGACAGTGGAACCTTTTGGCTGACAGTGGAACCTTTTGGCTGACAGTGGAACCTTTTGGCTGACAGTGGAACCTTTTGGCTGACAGTGGAACCTTTTGGCTGACAATGGAACCTTTTGGCTGACTGTGGTACCTTTTGGCTGACAATGGAACCTTTTAGCTGACAGTCGGTACTTGGATGCAAACAGATCTCCAAATCTATCTTATTTTTTTCCTTAGCTCGGTCGTTATCTTATAAATTGAATTCTTCATCTCTGCTTATCTCTCTCCCCTTTTCTTACCTCCTCCTTCCACCTACCTCTTCTGTTCACCTTTTCCAGCATCTCTAGAATGCATCTCGGTTACCTTGTGTATATATTTATTGGTGTAAATTCGTGTGAAAGGCCGCCGACCATTTGCATTTTGCGTTGATTGGTAAATGGCCTTGGAGAGTGGTAAAGGCAGAAAATGGTCCATCAATACTCTTTTTTTTTTTAAGCTTATTGCGTTTTTAGGTCATATAGTGAACGTTGTGGTTACGTTGTGTGTTGGGAGGTATAGCTATATAGCCTCGTTATACCCGCTCCCCCTCCCCCCCTCTTCACGCTGTTATTGGCTGAAGGGATTAAAATATGTATGTTGATGATGGGTCGTTAATTTGGTGCTGGTGGCCGAGGGCTCCGCGGGTCGTGTATTGAACACGTGTTGCTGTGGTGACCGCTTCCTGCTGTGGTGTCTGCTGTCTGGCTTGTCTGTCTGCCTCTGGCTGCCTGCCTGGCCTGCCTGTCTGGCCTGTCTGTCTGCTTGGTCTGTCTGCCTTGCCTGTCTTGGTCTGTCTCCCTACCTGGCCTGCTTGGTCTGCCTGCCTGGCCTGTCTCCCTACCTGGCCTGCTTGGTCTGCCTGCCTGGCCTGTCTCCCTACCTGGCCTGTCTCCCTACCTGGCCTGTCTCCCTACCTGGCCTGTCTCCCTACCTGGCCTGTCTCCCTACCTGGCCTGTCTCCCTACCTGGCCTGCTTGGTCTGCCTGCTTGGCTTGCCTGCCTGCCTGCCCTGCCTAGCCTGCCTGCCCTGCCTGCCTGCCTGCCTGCCTGCCTGCCTGCCTGCCTGCCTGCCTGCCTGCCTGCCTGCCTGCCTGCCTACCTGCCTGCCTGCCTGCCCTGCCTAGCCTGCCCTGCCTGCCTGCCTGCCTGCCTGCCTGCCTGCCTGCCCTGCCTAGCCTGCCTGCCTGCCTGCCTGCCTGCCTGCCTGCCTGCCCTGCCTAGCCTGCCCTGCCTAGCCTGCCCTGCCTAGCCTGCCTGCCTAGCCTGCCTGCCTGCCTGCCTGCCTGCCTGCCTGCCTGCCCTGCCTAGCCTGCCTGCCTGCCTGCCTGCCTACCTGCCTGCCTGCCTGCCTGCCTGCCTAGCCTGCCTGCCTGCCCTGCCTAGCCTGCCTGTCTGCCTGCCTGCCTGCCTACCTACCTGCCTGCCTGCCTGCCTGCCTGCCTGCCCTGCCTAGCCTGCCTGCCTGCCTGCCTGTGTAACCCCACTATAAATATAAACTAATAATATAACACACTACTCATTTGTAACACCACACATTACCACTTATAACAAAACACTACTAAAGTTGTACACTAAATATTATTGTATCCTAGACTATATTTGATGGTGAGAAGTACAACAGAGGAGGGGAGGAAGGAATAAGGGAAGGAGGGATGAGGATGGGTGGATAGGTGGGCATGATTAGAAAACGGGGACGGGGAACTCGTCTGTGGGGCAACAGAAAACGAGGGAAAGGGGATAGTAAGGAGGGGGGTAGGAAGGAGCAGAAGGAGAGAGTAAGTGGGAGTAGAGTAGAGTAGCCTGAGGAATACTAATATATATATATATATATATATATATATATATATATATATATATATATATATATATATATATATATATATATATATATGTGTGTGTGTGTGAGGGTACCACCTCTGGTGCCAATGTGGGGACCCATAGCCTCGGAAAAGAAAATAAAAAGTATTCAGAGGAGACCTTGTGGTCTCTCACTGAACACTAATATTATCTTCTCCTACAACCCCCATTCTTTTGTATGTACACATATATATTTTCTTTATTTGAACTTTGTTACAAAAAAGGAGTTACATATGGGTTACAAAGATGGTTATCATAGGTTGTCGAGTTCCTCCAGCTCCTCAGATGGCGGGCAGGAACCCTGGATGCAGTGCGCATTTCCCCTCTGTATCGCCACACTGAGGCGCTGGAAAAGAAAGCTGGCAGCTCTAGGGTCCCTTGTTGTTTCAATGAGCCTAGAACCCAGTTCCTTCAAAAAACTGGTAGCACTTTTACCCCAGGCGCCGAGTGTCTCAGAAGCAATGGGGACAAAATTGTAGTGGTGATCCAGTTCTCTATACTTACGGGATTTGACTGCTTCCCTGTGGGTGGCAGCGCCACCTGGTTGTGCAACACTAAGGTTAATGTAGGTGTTAGCCAGGGTTGATACGCACGTGTAGTCCCATACCAACTGCTTGCCATTCTTCCAGGGGTTCACTGTGATACCATCCGGGCGACCAATAAGAGCATCAGAGTTACGGGGCGTTAGGTAACGGGGCTCTCTTTCAGCTGGGCATCCAGCTGTGGTGAGGCTCCTCTTGATGATGTCGTTAACTTCACTGTGCCTCGAGTGCCATCCCCCTGTGCTTTGGCAGAGTAGGCCATGGTGGCCGTACCTGTCAGCCACCACCTCGCCGCAAATATACCTATATCTGTATATACACATCTGTATCTACACCTATATATATATATATATATATATATATATATATATATATATATATATATATATATATATATATATAACTGAAAACTCACACCCCAGTTGTATATAGTCCTGGGGACCATTCAGGCTTGTTTGCATATATATATATATATATATATGTCGTACCTAGTAGCCAGAACTCACTTTTCAGCCTACTATGCAAGGCCCGATTTGCCTAATAAGCCTAGTTTTCATGAATTAATGTTTTTTCGACAACCTAACCTACCTAACCTAACCTAACGTTTTCGGCTACCTAACCTAACCTAACCTATAAAGATTGGTTAGGTTAGGTTAGGTAGGGTTGGTTAGGTTCGGTCATATATCTACGTTAATTTTAACTCCAATAAAAAAAATTGACCTCATACATAATGAAATGGGTAGCTTTATCATTTCATAAGAAAAAAAATAGAAAAAATATATTAATTCAGTAAAACTTGGCTTATTAGGCAAATCGGGCCTCGCATAGTAGGCTGAGAAGTGAGTTCTGGCTACTAGGTACGACATATATATATATATATATATATATATATATATATATATATATATATATATATATATATATGTCGTACCTAGTAGCCAGAACGTACTTCTCAGCCTACTATGCAAGGCCCAATTTGCCTAATAAGCCAAGTTTTCCTGAATTAATATATTTTCTCTAATTTTTTTCTTATGAAATGATAAAGCTACCCATTTCGTTATGTATGACGTCAATTTTTTTTTATTGTAGTTAAAATTAACGTAGATATATGACCGAACCTAACCAACCCTACCTAACCTAACCTAACCAATCTTTTTAGGTTAGGTTAGGTTAGGTAGCAGAAAAAGTTAGGTTAGGTTAGGTTAGGTAGGTTAGGTAGTCGAAAAACAATTAATTCATGAAAACTTGGCTTATTAGGCAAATCGGGCCTTGAATAGTAGGCTGAGAAGTGCGTTCTGGCTACTAGGTACGACATATATATATATATATATATATATATATATATATATATATATATATATATATATATATATATATATATATATATATATATAATATACACACATATATATAATATATATATATACACATATATATAATATACACACACACACAAACAAAATAATAAGAATACACACACACACACACACTAAGTAACACTTCCTACCGGTTGCACTTGTAACACTTTGTTACTAGAACACTGTATTTATATTTAACGTAATATGAGCATATGATATACCACTAAAGGTTACACCGGAACCAAAGGTACACTTGCAAGAAAATGCTACACAGGGTTAACTACGCTGCCACCAGCTGCCTTGTCCATTAACTATATCAAGCAACGCGGCAAGAAACATTGCTTGACTTGGAGAGTACTTTTTGTTTCTTTAACTGTCATTAAATATGGGACGGTTGTTAGCAAACTATATCCAGAGGCTAAGAGGATCCAGCAATTGACTCAGACGGAAAGTTTAAAATGAGTTGATTTAGAACAAATTGTGTAATTCACCAACTATAAGCCCTACTCTAACACTGGCACTACTGCCAGTTGTTAAAGTAATTCAGACATGGAAACGTATCAAAGATCACACACATTACCTTAAGACCTCTGTCTCTCCGTCCGGTGGATTCACTCTGTCTCTCCCTGGCTGTGTGATGTTCTTCACAGACCCACTCTGGACCCTGGTGTCCGGCACTCTGGCTACCTCTCCTACAGGACCATATATACACACAAAAAAGGGGGGGGGGAGATTTGCTGTTGCTACCTACACCGAAGATGCAAGAGGTCGGGCCACACGTGCACAAACATTCAAGAATTTTGCCATTAAGTTTGTTTGACATTCGCCATACAACTCTTCAAGGAGGGGAATTATTAATTACGTGTGTGACTGACCTCTGACCTGGCTAAAAAGGGGAAGATCCATGGATGTTTACACATAAGAATCTGGGGAGTCTAATTCCATTACAATGTTTGACAAGAGTATCATGAAATATTACATACTTGAAACTAGCTGACCAAGACTAACCCAGGAATTTTTAATCAACATACAAGATGATCCAGAGGTCATCTGGGCTGACCTCTTGGAGAAGGCTTCCCTGTGTGTTAACTCTAAGGGTGGGGGTCATGGGTGTTACACCTGCCTGCCTGTCTGCCTGCCTGCTTGCCTGCCTGCTAGCCATCCTGCCTGCCTGCTTAGCCTGCCTGCTTGTCTGTCTGTGTGCAGGTTATCAAGTTCAATGAGAAATGAATAATTTTGTTTTCAAAAGGTGACCCAATCCCGTAGGCAAGTCATATTTCATTATAAATTTCACAGCAAAAAAAATTTAATTCGTTGAAAAATCAAGTTCTTAGGCAAATGTTCTTTGCATAAAGCAACGACACCTTTCTTTGAAGAAAGGTAATCCTCTATGGTGTCAAAGGCCTGTGTGGGGGGTTCGTGTCCCCTTGCTACGAGGAGGGCTAGTAGCTACTAGGAGGGCTAGTAGCTACTAGGAGGGCTAGTAGCTACTAGGAGGGCTAGTAGCTACTAGCTAAGCAAGGGGGGGGATATTGTTTAAGGTTATCGTTTTCATGAC